TTTTTTTTTAAATCAGTTATGTAGTGCTACAAGAAATGTCCAATAATCTACATAGGAACAATTTCTGATGGATGAAAATGAGAAGACTGAATAAGGCTACCAGATTACCTTACCTTATTTACATGTAAAGAATAGATACCCAATGGTGTAGAAGAGATAGAATTGGACAAATAACTCATAGGTGTAAAAATTACATCTACCTTTGAGCTTATACTGTAAATGAGACATTTTAAATAGTCCTGTAGCCCATGCCTATTTTTTCCTCAGAAAAAGAAAAGCTGCCTTCATGACATTCCCTCTTGCACACAGAATTCCACAGTGTCATTTGAAGCTTCAGAGTCAGAATCTTACTTTCTTCAAAAAATAAAATCCCCCCTAAATTATTCCCTCCCCCCCAAAATCCCTCTGGGTTTTTTCTTTCCAGTGCCAGGTTGCATGATCAGGTCCCACTTGGGTTTTTCTGTCCAATCTATTGATCAATTAGTTTATAGTAGATAACATGAACCAGTTCTGGAACCACTACTAGGAGGAACACAAGCTCTTCACTACAAGCACACAGCAGGAAAGTGATAACTCAATTCATCCCTGGTGCCGGGCCTCCAAAATTGAAAGAACTTGGCACAACTGGAGCACTGAATTTGTATCCTCCATGCTTCTCAATCATTTTGGATTCTAGAAAACAAGTAAGCAACATGTTAGAGTATTTGATTATTTAATTACTTTGGAGAAAAAAAGGGATTCAGAGATACAAAACAAGTGAATAGCTTATAACTTTTAAATTCCTAATAAAAGCAAACAGTAAAACTGTTATATGCAGCAGAATTCTTAGCCAACTATCACTCTTATTTACTCTCTCATTTAAAAAAGTATACATCAGAAAGCTGCATGGTTTTCCAGATTGTACTATTATTAACCTGTTAGGTGCCATCGAGTGGAGTAAGAATCATGGCAATCCTGTCAATGACAGCTCTAAGACTCACAGCAACGACAGCTCTGAACTCTGTCCTATCCTATGCCATCCTCATAATCTGACACTTTGAACCCCATGGCTGTAGTTACTGTGTAAGTATACACCTTAGTATATATGAAAATAAGAACAGGCTTTAATATTTTCTTTTCCTAACGAACTATTATGCTGCTGTTGTGTTACGTGCGTCTCTCACGTGAGTCTCTCCAATGAGTGACCCGATGACCCACAATAGCTCTGAAGCCTGCCCTATCTTGAGCCAATCACACTGCCTCAGAAACAGCTACCCCTACTACCCCAATTACTATGTAAATCCATCTATGTAAATCCATCTCATCCAGGGTCTCTCTTCTGTGTTGTCCTTCCACCATTCCAGGAATGATTTCCTTGTCCAAGAACTGGTCCCTCCTGGCAACATTTCTCTTCTTATAGTCTAGCCTCTCAAATCTGTTCTACATATAGATTGAAAGGTACACTTCCTTGAAGCACTCCTGATTTGGAACCATGTATAGTGTTTCCTTGATCTGTCTGACCACTGCTTCCTGGTCCTAGTATAGGTTGCACAAGAGCACAACCAGGTGTTTTGGGATTCCCAATTCTTCAAGATTAGTCACAATTTGTGATCCAAACAAATTCCTTAATATTACAGAGAGTTAAGATCAGTAACATACCATGGGCTGCTCTTCTTTGATCTGCCAGAGTTGCAATATCCTGTAACTGTTTTCTTTGTTCCTCATTAAGACCATGAGTCAGAGCCTGGTACCATACAGGATTACGATTCTGAATAGCTATAATAAGGAAAACAGGGAAGGAAAAAGGCGCAATAGCTTGTTAAGAGGACTAACATTTAGTATCTACTATATTTATTGTGTTCCTTCCTGTCTGCCCTATCACGCTCCCAGTACTAAAATTCTCTCCTCCTGGTCGTGGCCGTGAACACCTTTGGGATTGCAGTGAAGCTTGCCACTGGGCCACTTGAGCTCCATTTAGGAACATTTAGGAAAGGGGGGGAAAAATCCAAAACCCACAATGAAAAACAAAACCCCAAACAACTTAATGATTTTCACATTCACCCCTATTTTAAGCACATATTAACAAGGTGACTTACTTTGAAATATAGCTTTAAATATCTGATACTCATCAACAGGGTTGTCTTCATCATCAATGATTGTGGAATAGCCTTCCAGAGCAGTCTCTTCAGCA